TTCCTGCTAGAGCCAGCAAGATGCTGAGCTCATTCCAGATTCGGTCTTTTGGAGCTATTTATCACACTAACAGATCGTAGCACAAATTTTATCTTATAACATCTGGGGTGGATAAATTAGCAGGCAGGAAGGAAGGGCTTTTAAGGGTGCACGTTCATTAAACCCAACCAAACAAAAAAACAACCAAAACCACACCCCAAACCCCAAAAAACAACTCAGCAGAAGCCAAGGGGAGAGATGCTAACAGTTTGTATTGCATGGTTATGGTGAAATCTCAATCTGCGTGGGCCCCGCTGAGGTAAGCGGAGTATTGAGTGGACAGACCCTGCCTCGGTGAGCTTACAGTCAGAAGAAGAGAGGGGTTAAACAACAAAGTCTGGAGAACGCTATTCCATTGCCTGGCTGGTTCAGAAAGAACAGAGCCAAGTTTACCATAGATTTTTATATTTTGCAGTTTACCTTCTGTGACTGCTGTTCCTAAAATGAGAAGTTCTCACCTGAGCACTCTCCCCACTCCCTGCAACAGGTAAAGGAGAAGATGGGAGCAAACAAATAAACTGATCAAAGGAGGACAGATTCCCCAGGTTCATTTTTCCCCATGTGTGGCTGCTTTACCACACCAACATGAAGCATCAGTGCGTGTGTAAACAGAGAATGTCTCTGCCACCTTTCCCTGCCCACCCCGGCCCCTGGGACCAGCAGGGACAGCAGCAGCTTTGCTGACAGTAGGGGTGGGGAGGGAAGAGAGGTAGACTCTGGTGAAGTCAGGAGGAAGGCAGACAAGCGACAAACCCTCGAGCAGCTGTCAGCTCCTGCTGTGATACAGAATGCAATGCACATTTTGGGGAAAATTTGAGAACATAAAACTTTCTCACCTCTATGGCTAGGCCTACAAGCTCACGTGTTCACACTAGATTTACTAAGTGTCATATCCAGCGGGCACAAGCAGAACCCATCTTCACTTTTCCTCCTCCAAAAATGAACCAACTTTAAATTGTTTATATTTTATTTAAATAAAATGAAAACTGTTGGACAACCCAACAGTGTTTTGGTGTGCAACTGCATTGCTAGCTTTGAAAGCGTATTTGTAATGCCAGAGGTGCCTGACATTTGGACACAATAGGTCCTGAAATCCTCAGAGCAGGTTGTGCCATGTGAAGTTTTGACTCGGAAGACACGTGTGGCTTGTCACAGCCACTCGGTGCTCCCCAGCCACCTAGGGCTGCTCTAACGTGGCCCAGCTGCCCAGGGTCCCCGTGGGGCTGCAGAGAGCAAAGGAATCAAATCCATCAGCTTGAGCCGCAGCCTGCCCAGGGTTGCTGCTATCACCAGCAGAAAAACCTGCTCTCTGAGACCACAAAGGACATTTGAGACTGTCTCTGCCACCCCTTTGCACACACTCCTGGATTCACATTGGCTGTGGAGCCAAGTTCTGCCAAGCCCCTGTCATTAACCAATGGCAAGTCTGTCTACACTTCCCTACTACTACCATTGGTATTGGAACCAGGTGCCCCTAAAAGGAAATGCTACATAGCTAACTTTAAATGGGAGCCAGATTGCCCAGGATGCACAAAGACTAACCCTCTGCACCCTGTCATCGGTGTCAGTCAGCCACCTTTATCCTTTAGATCCAGGGATATTCCTGGGGATACAGTCGCAACACATCTGTGCTCAAATGCTTGGCTCTTCCAATATTTGATATCACAGTATGTATCATACCCACTAAATAAAACTAAACTCTCTTTTACAGAACTGTAGAACAAAACTCAGTCTTTCCATGCTTTGATATCTTTCTTTTCCTTCTCCATCTCCACTGAAAGCACTACTCCTTTGCTAGGACACAAATGGTGACAAGCTTGATGGCAAACTTCCAGCAAGCCATTCTTAGCCCAAGCGCGGCATTTTGGCTTAAAGTCATCAGGTACTCTATTCTAGATCATGAAAACAACAACAGAAATCAGATGTGGAGAACACATCCATCAGTACAGTAATCTCTCCCAAAGTCCTGCCCTTTTATAAAAATAATTGCAGGTTCCTTTCTGTACAGGAAAGGAGTTAGTGTCATATTCAACATACATATAAAAACTGAAGCGCCAAAAGGGGAGTGACCAGCTAGGACAGATTCTTGCAAATACTTGCAGAGTATGTACAATCACATGCAACAAGACACTCCTTGTTGCAAATTCCTCGAAAGCCCCAATACACACCATTATGGAGAGATCACTGGATTGGAAAAATAATAATCAAGGATTTTTCTTCTATTTCCCTCTCACATTTGAGTTGTTCTCTCTCTGACCTCATTCTACTGCTCAGGACTTGTCCAATACAAGAAACGCGCTGGAATATGTTGTCTTGCATCAACGTGAAAGACAGACACACGTCCAGAAGACTCAGCATCCCAAGTAACAGTGAATGCCTATGCCTGCTTGGTCCAGGCATCCCCCTTCCAATACCACGCTCTGTCCCATACCTCACCACCAACTCTGTCCTCCTTTTGTCTCATCCTGAACCTGACCAGGAACACTTAGGGAGGGGACAAATTCTTGTCCTTTGCCTTTCTAGCAGGACCCCGCGATCAACTCACCAGCACTCGATCTCCAAGCCGTAAGTCCTTCTCCCCTTTTTTCACAGACCCACTGTCCGAGAGGTTAGATCCAGACTCGTTGCCCGTCTTCATGGCGCTGTTCAGGACGCTCTCCCGCAGGGGGATGACGCGAGTGGAGAGAGGTGGCGTGGCCGTCCCCGAGTGCAGTGACAAGTTCTGAGCCGTCAGGGAGTCCACGGAGGGGGCGTCGCTCCCCGAGCCCTCGGCCACCGGCTGCCGCGTCAGCTTGGACGGTCGTGTAAAAATCCCCTGCAGCGGCTGGCATTCAAAGTAACGTACTCCACCGACAGAGCCGTCATTCTTACCCACCGGGTCATCCAGAACGACCCCTGCCCACTGGCCTGGAGCAAATTGCGTCTCCCCAAGATACTGGATGACACCTGGCTTCACTCCATTTACCCAGACGCGTTCACCCACCACAAAGTCTCCCAGGAAATCATCGCCCACCTCGGCAACCTTTGAACCTGACTTCTCGGCGCTGGCGGTGGAGGTGGTACCCTGCTTGTGTAAAGGTGAGCCTGTGAATCAAGGGAAAAGAGGTTTTGGTATGAGGAGAAATCCTAAAAGGCAGCCAAACACCAGGAAAGGGCATTTACAAAAAGGAAACATCTGGGACCACGGCTTAGGTCGCAGGTTTACACTAGGTGAAAGTTAAAACCTGAGCGACACCGTTACTTATAGGAAAGCAATCTGCACAGAAACTCCTGTACGCTGCCCAATTTCTGCAGGTCTCGCACACAACATAAAGAACCAACCCCATGTCTTCATCCCCCTTTATAAAGCCCACTTACCCCCAGTCCCATCACAACACCGAGGGGTATTTTGCATGGCAGCGCTAGTGTGAATAAGTTCAAAAGGACAGGAGTGGTGGTACGTATCTAAGGATCAAAAGGAGACCAATGAACTGCTGCTTTGAAGAAGGATGCCAAAGTCATCCTTTCATCCAAAAATTAAAAAGAGTGAGGCACTGATGTTTTAGTACCTGGTGCTATGAGAACTCCACGTGTCTGTATACAGGCAAACAGTTAGTCCAAGCACTGGGAGTCCCACCAAGGGCATTAATAGCTCCTGTGGGACCACACAGCTGCCTTTGCAAATTACTCAGTTCTCCCAGCTGCTGCTATGCCCTTTGCTGGAGCAGAACCCAGCAGTGAGCAGACACCTGGGGTATGTTCAATATAAACAGCATATCTATAAACAGGAAGCATCTACAAACCCCTGCACGCACAGCCTTCCCAAGGCTGACACGCCGTGCGCTGAACTCAGTAAAACCTGCAATAAAGAACACTCTTATTCCGGCACCAGCCCATCAAGCCGAAGCCAGACCTCCAGCATGCTTTGCTGCGCTGGGAGAAGGAAAACTGCAGATGATGCTGGAAATTCACTGTCCCGCTCACTCTCTCCAGCATACCCAGGACCGGCCAAATGTGACTGGCATCTGAAGGGGAACAAAGACAACCTGTGCAAACAAGTTAGCAGTGACCCCGCTCTTGCTGACCCCAGTGTCAAACTCTCCTATCACAAACTTTCGGCTTTCAGCCTAGGCCCCACGGGAACGAAAAAAATGGACATATGGACTTCATTAAAACACTCTGAAGTCTAAAGGGGGAGGTTAAGTAAAGCGCTAAAAGAAACCACACAAGAGAATGAGGAAATAAGCTTGCAAAATAAGATCCAGCAAGTCATATACCATGGACCTTCAGTCAGCCTGAGGTCTTGGTAGCACTGAGGTCCCAAGTGTGCTTCTCCCCCTACAGCTGGTGTAGGGGTTGCATGCATGAGATTTGGTCCCACGCATCCTGCGCTCAACGAAAGCTACCTGGACTCTTCAGCCAAACTTTAAGCTGAAATTTCTGGGTGCTACCAATCAGAAAAGCCTAAAGCACACCCAGAAAGAAGTTTTTATTTGCTACCAGACAAGGCTGACAGAGTAAGTCCAAGTACCTGCAAAGACAAGTCAAACTTGAGTGCTTCTCTGGAATGGAATGTGAAACTTGTTCAGCCTCAGCCATCACTATTGCTCAGCCTGCACCATTTCTACAGCTCTTTCAGAAGTAATGGGCCTGACAGATCAGGTTCAGCTCCTAGAAAGCCTGAAGAACATAAAGTCTCGCACACCAAGATAATTCAAAGCTTTGCAAAAGGTCTAATGTCAGGGGAAAGAAAAGAGCACCAGTGCTTCAGCGATAGTATAAGGAACCTACAGTTTCTGCTAAACCAGCTGCATTAAGTGGGATTAATATTGACACTTTGGTTCTCATGAGATCCCAGAGTCAACACTCTTGACAAATCTCTATGGCACAATTGCACCAGTTTGTTTGTGGTTCCTGGAAGACAGCAGTACCTCTGCCTGGTCTGAACCTGATCTGAACTAGGACAGAGCAGCAGTTAAGGCATGATCATACAGACTCCTTTTAAGAGAAGGATCACCTCCAACCTGCACAGTAGGCTTGGTGGGCTGGAGTTGGAACAACTCTTAAGAAAGTTAGCTAAACAGGGCATGCACAGCACAACGCATGGGACATGTTCAAGAGGCCCATCCTGTGATGGGCACAGAAAGGGCAATAACATAAATACTGTTCCCAGCTGAAAAGGTTAGCAGCGACCGAGTCCGCAGTGCTCCCGGCAAAGCTCAGCCAGCTCCCTGGGAGAAAGGGAGGCATCGTAGTCCCTGAGCTGCCTTCTCTTGGTGTTTGGGCCCTGCTCTGAAAGCTTCCTCAACCTCATATGTTTTTCATTAACTTTTTTTTTTTTTTTGGCAAATGCCTGACTTTCAAGCTTGTGTTACTCTCAATCTTGTAAAAGGCAGTACCTCAAAAGGAGCTCCATTAGGTGTATGGCATTACATTCAAGAACTAGTTTCACCTTAAAAACTGAAAAACAAAAGACTATAAGGATGCTTAGAGCTTTTGATCTTTACAAAAGACTTTAAAAGGGGGAGGAGGGGAACAGGGCTCCAAAGACAACCATAGGCAAAAAAATAAGGCCACCATTTTCATTTCAATGCTTAATAGCACAAGAAGTAAAGCAGTTAGATTAGAAACCAACAAGTTACATTTTAAAAAGAGTCTTTCGGTTTAATGACCAGAGATGGCTACAGGGGTTTATCACCAGCAACGTCTGTGATATGTATCTCTCTCCTTTCATGGGTATGAGAAAAACTTAAATTAGAAACACAACTCGCATTCTGGTTTCATGCTCAGCAGAGTGCCGTAACACACAGATCTCGTGCTGCTGACATGTTTGCGACAGACATATGCAACGTGCCAAGCAGAATAGCCAAATTCAACTCTACTGTACAGGGAACTATAAGCACAGAAATTTGGGGGGGGTCTGCAAAAGATCTAAGCTGTTTTTCTAGTCCTAGTGGAGCCTGAGTTTCAGCACACGAGCAGTCTTTATTAGGGCCGTTAGTTAACGATCAAGATACAGGTTACATTAGCTCTCACAAACACCTCTGCAACATGGCTGGGATAAGCAAACCCTTCAGCAGTGAAGCTCAAGCAAAGAAAGGCAGGAAGGCTGCCCAAGGCTGAACAAACAACACAGCAGGATTTAAACCCACATCTAGACTCAGCATATTTCACTGCAAAAGCAAACACCTTCAAAAACTGACTTGGACTGGAGGGGCGGGCGGGGAGGAACCAGTTCATTGGACTCTTGGTGTAACATTGTGCTCCCCATAAAGCCAAAATTTTAGTGGGACTTTATAGACTCCATTCATTTTAGGTGCCTGTCTGACAGGCAGGGCTGCCAAACTACAGTAGTTATACCATCTCAGGGAAACAGTCTAATTACAGACTCCCAAGCAGAGCAGTGCAGTCGGAAGCATTATTATTCTTTAGCATCAGGTGAATGATTCAAAAAGATAAGATTTAAGTGAGGAACTGCCAGAAGGTTCACCTTTTATCTTTACGGCCATGCTATACAAACTTGGTATTTTACGTGACCTTCATTACCCACATATAAAATAACAACTAAGCCACCAATTTTCCTACAGTGCAGCTAACAGGCTTTTTGCGCACTACGTTTTCAGAGAAGCCAAGAGTTGCTATGATCAAGCTAAAACCATTCTTACTGGCTTCAGGTCTGATGGCCCCATTAACTAGATGGCCAGACAACATCCAGAGTAGTCTGAGTAAAGTAAGCTCCTGCCTCCCAGGCAGGTATCTAGTCACCAGCCCTTCAGAAGGCAAAAGGTAGTGATGAGCAACTTGTCTTTGATCCCATGTATCTCAGGATAGCCCAAAACAAACATCAACTGACAGCACTGCTCCCCAAGACCTGACATCTGGAGTTACCCACTCTCCAAGCAGCTCTTACAGCTTAGGGGAAAGCCACCCAAGCACCCAGAATTCCTGAGCTTTCTCCAGCCTACAGGCACCTAAAGAGCTGGTCTATGCCTGCATCATCCGGATTTGCTGTTTCTGGAGAAGAAAAAACTTCTTGTTCTAGTCAGACTCCCCAGTTAAACACCAAAAAGTTCCAAGAAACTTGCTAACAGCAAAGCAAGGGTACAGATCTCAGGTACAAAGTTGAGAACAGTTACAGAAGAGAAACAAACCCAACAAAATGTAGACTGAATACTTCCCACTCCAACCCTGCCATTATCTGGTGATGCTGATCAAGAAGCCACAGCAACTCTTTGAATGTCACTTATTAGGCATCTAACTCAGCAGCTCACCTGGAAGTCAGCGATGGAAAAAGCTCTTTCCTCCTTGGTCCAGGAGGATCTCCCTCTGCTGCTCTGTCCCACACAAACCTCGCTTGCTAGACAGGACTGCGACAGCAGCTCCTCCCTCCCTCCCTCTCACTGGGACCAGGCTCCAGGACACAACATGCAGTAAGCAGGATCTCTTCCACTTGGGCTTTCCAACTTCACAACCCTATTGTGTTCATTAGCCGGCTCATTCTTTTCGGTTTAAATGGTCTTCCTGTAGGTCACGGCTTTCAGGGCTGAACAACAACTTATAAATCAAAGTCATACACAGCATCCACTAAATGCACGTTATCCAACTCTAAATCTCTGTTTTCCCTTTAGCTTTTGTAAAGCCCATGTATGATGCATTAATAATAACCATGGCAGACCTGGTGCTTAAAGCCCTTTTTGCAAACTTGTCCCATCAGTTTTAGGGGCCCACAGTGTCAGGGTACCCCACACTGACAGGGCACCAATACTTTAGGAGCCAAATTCCTATCAGCCAAGAGCTGGAGAGGTTAAAGGTTTTAACTGAAGCTCCAGCCTGTTCACATGGCTCTCGTTACAGTGTCAATGAAAGTCATGTGTCCGAAATCCCTGGAAGTGCAAGAACATCTGCAAACAGGGACAGACTCTTCCAGCTCTTGGAAACATCTGCTGTAGAAAGGGGTGAAGAGACAGCTTTGTACAGTACAGGAGCAAGAACTCCCCCTTCAAGCAAGCTCTGAAAATTGAAGCAGGAGGAACAGAGCACTTGCTCTGCAGCATTTGCAGGACCCCCGATAAGATGCTTAGCCTCATGCTACGCTGAAGTGCCAT